TTTTATTAATAACATTAATTGTATACTAATGATATCAATTATTATTATATTATTACAATAATTTTCTATAAAAATATATACATTTGTATCTATGTATTATTTAATTTATATTATATATATATTTTTATTTTTACAAAATATGCCAAAATTATTTTACAATCACTAAAAATGCTTTCAATATAATATTTAAAAAAGTTTCAATAATTTACTACTACTACTAATACTGTATAATTATTTTTTATAAAACAGTGTACAGTATTTTATTATAATTATAATTATTATTATAATTATAATTATTATTATTATTATTATTATTATTATTATTATTATTATTATTATTATTATTATTATTATTATTATTATTATTATTATTATTATTATTATTATTATTATTATTATTATTATTATTATTATTATTATTATTATTATTATTATTATTATTATTATTATTATTATTATTATTATTATTATTATTATTATTATTATTATTATAAATATTATTATTATTATAAGTATTATTATTATTATTATTATTATTATTATTATTATTATAAATATTATTATTATTATAAGTATTATTATTATTATTATTATTATTTAATAGGTGGAGGACATGGTAATCGGTGGATTATTCCTGAACTCGAGTTTATATATACGAGTTTTGAGGATTTTGATAATATCCCAGGTGACAACAACATGGAGAAATTCGAAGAGATCTCCTTGGTAATTTTATTAAATTTAATTTTTTGAAAAAAAAACTAATTTATATTAAAAATTTTATTATTTAGATGATGTTTGATTGGTTAGGCCTGCATCGAACTGCATTGGCGATTCAAAAAAAATATTATCAATATGATTGAGCATTTTAATAATAATAATAATAATAATAATAATAATAATAATAATAATAATAATAATAATAATAATAATAATAATAAAATAATAATAATAATAATAATAATAATAATAATAATAATAATAATAATAATAATAATAATAATTAAATAACAAAACATTATACAATATATATATAAAATTCATTTTATTCGTAGTTTTTTTATTCATAAATTAAATGATTTATTAAATAATTATAATTAATTAAATGACTTTTTTTTATCTAATTAACTAAATTTTTTTTAACTAAACTAGTAGTAAATCTACAAAATATACATTTTTTTGGAGATTTTTGTATTCAATATTTAGTATATATCAAGTATTTGTTTATAAAAAATAATAAATATTTTGTTTTATCTCATCAATAGTACAGCAGTTGACTATTGATTTGTTTTGAAGATAATATTAATATCAATTTGTGTGTATTATTGTTAAAAAAATATTTGATTTGAATCCTCAATGAATAAGTGATTGAAACGATACATACAATTCATAGATTGATAAATAAATAAATAAGGAGAGAGATAATAAAAAATAAAGTTAAAACAATTTATTTTTTATATAATTTTTTTAAAGCAAATTTCAAATATTTTTTGTTTGTTTGTGTTGATTTTAGTGTTTGGTTATATTGATATCTAAATTATATTGAACTTTATTTTTTAAATTTTTCGTTGTTGTTGTTGTATATAATATTGTTTGTAAGTTATAATACTTTTTTTTGTTTAATTACAAATCTAGTGATATTTTTATTTTTGATTTAATGTTTTTTATGTTTATTTTTAATTTAAAAACTTGAATATAATAGTTTAATAATAATAATAACAATAATACAATATATATTTTCTGTTATATTTTTATTTATTTTTTTTAAGTTTAATTGATTGATTGATAAATTATTTGTCGATAAATGTCAGTTCCGTTACCAGAGATAATAATTATTAATTAATTATTTATAGATATAGATAAAAAAAATGTTTATAAAATATATTTATATGAAAATACAATACCTTAACCCGTAAAACAAGTTATAACTTATAAGTCATCACCGACGCCGACACCTTTGCCAATGATATCAATTATTATTGGATTGGATACCAAAGTATTGGCGGTGTAGTCGTCTGGGATGGACTGTCTAAAGGACTGGCATTTAGTTTGGCTTAACATAACTGTCTCATCTGTTCATCAGTACATCTATTGATTGTCTTATTGTTGTTATTGTTTTCATCACCGGATGATGACCTGTGGATCACTTTCTTGTACTCGACGGCCGATTCGATGGCATTGATAAACGATTGGGTATTTCCGTCACTTTTGTTGTTATATATATATATATATATAACGAAACAAAAAACTAATAAAAAAACATTTGTTTTTTTTAATTTAAAAAAAACTTTTTTAGTTGAAAAATACCGTATCATTTGCAACACTAACGACTTTCGCCGGTTGTTTAATTGCAACGATAGTTTGATGTCCTGGTCTAAGATATTGTGCAACTGATTGCAAACACTGTAAATACTTGGCGACAACATGTCTAATATAGGGGGGATCGGGATGTATGTGTCTGACTGACTGTCTGTCTGTCCACACACACACACAAAAAAGTTTGTAACACAAAATGTTTTAAATATATATATATATAACAAAAGTTTTTTTTATAACAACTATTATGAACTCATAGAAACACAAACTGAAAATACATTTGTTTTTTTAATAAATAAAGTGTTTATATATATAACTACTTTTCAATTGAACAAAAAATAATTTTGAACAGTTTTTTATTGTTTCATTTCATTACAAAATAATAATAATAATAATGATTATTATTATTAAACATTTTATTAAAAAGTTAGATTACAAGGTAACCGATGATTACAACTAAAACAAGGTTAGGACTTGTTATTAAAAACTTAGTGTCGATATTTGAAAATATTAAAAAACAATTGTATGAATAAATTAATAATAATAAAGTTATGATAATATAGCAAATAATTAATAATTAGTTGTATATATTGATTGATAAATATATTTATAATATAAATTTTTATATATATATATATAAAATTAAACTTTAATATGATAAAAGTATTTATATATACATAGAGTTTTTATATATATATAAACTAAATTTCATATAAAATGGCACTTGATTTTATTCAATTAAAATTAATTAAAATTAAATATTTTATTTAAAAAAATAATTAAGGCAAATTTAATATATAATAAATAAAAATAATTAAAATTTAATAGTTTATACGACCGCCATTGGCCGCAAGACACTTTTCAATGCGGGATTTCATACTCCCGATATATGACTCCAAGTATTGTGGGGCCAACTTATCCCATATCTCTTGGATTTTGGCCATCCAATTGTCGGCGGATCGCTCTAATTCCTTTTCCAGAGCATCTTTCATCAATCGCCATAGGTTCTCTATGGGATTGAGGTCAGGCGAATTGGGTGGCCAGTCCAACAGCTCGTACCCGTTCCTCACAAACCACTCCTTTGTTGATCTGGCGGTATGAGCGGGTGCGTTGTCTTGTTGGAAGACAAATCCGTCGGGATACAGGACATCCATTGTGGCCAGATGTTCATCAAGGATGTCCTGATATTTATCGGCGGTAATTGTCCCTTTGGCCAGACAAATAGGGGTTGTGCCGCGCAATGAAATTCCTCCCCAAACCATAATTGCCGGGCCATGTTTTGGGACTTGTTTTTCTGGCCTTTTCCTACCCCAACACTTGACTTTATGACGATAGAGCTGAAAATAGCTCTCGTCAGTGAGTAGCACATTGTCCCAGTCCCGATCCAAATTGGCCAGACACCAATTGACCCGCTTTTCCTTATGGAGAGGTGTCAATCTGGTGACCAGTTTCGGCAGCCATTTGAGGAGCCCGGACCGCCTCAATGACCGCCATATTGTCACTCCAGATATCAGCCGCCAGCGCAGTTGAACTGTGCATCGGGTGATTGTTGGCCAATTGGGTAAGTCGGCGTCGGTCATTGGGTTTCAAAATTTGAGGTCTGCCGGTTCCGGGCTTCCGTTGGACACCTTCTCCCGAACGTAACTTATTAAGGACCCGAAATATATGCTCCATATCATTAAGAATAATAGCAACTGGAGTGCTTTTCGGCGGTCGAGATTCTTCTTAATTGGTGTTTCCTTTTTCGTGTTTGCCATCACTTTTAAAAAAATAAACAATAACATGTGGCATAGCATTGGAAAGGTATTTAAACAACCTTTCCAATGGTATGCCACAAATTATGTTGTGATGACAAACACAAAAACTATGCCTTAAAATTTATTTATGGTTTTAGTGCCGTTTTATATGAAATTTAGTTTATATATAAAAAATACTTTTCAATTGAACAAAAAATTTGAAAAGTTTTTTATTATTTCATTTCATTTCATTACAAAATAATAATAATAAAATTATTATTATTAAACATTTTTAAAAAATTAGATTATAAGGTAACCGATGATTACAACAAAAACAAGGTTAGGAGTTGTTATTAAAAGTTAGTGTCGAAAAAAACAATTGTAATAATAATAATAATAATAAAGTTATAACAACTAATAATTAGTAGTATTATATATTGATTGATAAATATATATATAAATATAGTTATATAAATATATTACAACTTGTTTTCATCAGTTAGAGAAAAAACTTGAACCCAAACCGCAAATAATATTAATACAAAAATAAACTAATAGTTATTAATAGTTATAATATACACTAAACTAATATTTAAAAACATATAATTATTATTATATTAATACTTAATAATAAATACACTATCAGTCTCTGGGTTTCCTTTCATACATACAGTACAGTAAACACTACATTACAGTATAAGCCTTACACATGTGTATTAACACTAATTAGTTATTAATATTATTAATATTTTATTTTGGTTTTTAAAATTAAATTTTAAACTTTTAAATTTTTCTTATAACTTGAAACTCAAGGGAATGGTAGCAAACGTGAGGAGGAGGAGGGGTGACATTTAGTTATTATTATTATTATTATTGATAAAAATAACTATATATTTATTGATAGATACCAATGAATATTATTATTAGTATTTTTATATATTATGATAAAGTTGTTGAAGTAGTAGTAGTAGTTGTTTATCATTAGGTTATCATTTGATATATAAGTTATCAATAAATAATAATAAATGTTTTTATCATTTGAATATACATAATATACAATTTAAAGTGCAATGTGTTTACTCTGTATATACAGTATATATATAACTAATAATTATATTATTAGTATTATTATTATTTTGATAATAAATTAAAAATTTATGAATCACTTTTTTCAAAAAAATTACTCTAAGATAATAAAATATTATTATTTTTAATAACTTAATAATTCAATATTTTATTATTATATAAATTGAGTTTAATAATAATAATTATTATTTTATATTTTAAATAAATTTAGGAATTTATCTATATATAAGAAGGCGGTCAATCGATCTTGAGCGGCGTATTTTTTGAATAACTTTTGAAAGGTAAGAGATAATTTAATTTTGTAAAATACATTTAAGAATATCATATCGACCACATTTAATATACACGAAATCACAAAACTAGGATGACCAGATATACAAAATATCGGGACCAACGCAAGACACTATGCTACAGGTCAAACTACAACTGACAAATTTTTTATGACAATGAAAATTTGTAGTCAAGAAATAATAGTTTAATATAAAAAAAGAATCATCAAAATCATATTGGTAGTTTTGTTTATATGGCTCCTCAAGTTTGTCATAAATCATATTATATAAAATAGTCTAAAATAAAAATAACGTTATTTATGACTATTATATATTTATAAGATTAAATTTTCAATTATATTATTATTTCTAAAAACTAAATTTTAATATGTCGACTAGTTTTCGAAATAATCGACTTTCAATATAAATCACACTATTGTAATTTGATATTATAATTTATATTGAAAGTCGATTATTTCTAAAACTAGTCGACATATTAAAATTTTGTTTTTAAATTTAGTAATAATATGAAAATCTTCATTTAATAAGTATATAATATTCATAAATAACGTCAATTTTATTTTAGACAATTTTATACAATGTGATTTATGACAAACATAACAAGGTATAAAAATAAAACTACAAATCCGATTTTGATGATTCTTTTTTTATATTAAACTATTATTTCTTGACTACAAATTTTCATTGTCATAAAAAATTTGTCAGTTGTAGTTTGAGCTGTAGCATAGTGTCTTGCGTTGGTCCCGATATTTTGTATATCTGGTTATCCTAGTTTTGTGATTTCGTGTATATTAAATGTGGTCGATATGATATTCTTAAATGTATTTTACAAAATTAAATTATCTCTTACCGTTCAAAAGTTATTCAAAAAATACGCCGCTCAAGATCGATTGACCGCCTTCTTATATATATATACTGTATTACTGTACTATAAAATGAACATTTTAAAGTAATAATAATTAAATAAATATTTACTATGCTATTGAAATATATATATATATATATATTATATTTTTGTTTTGAGTCATTAAAAGGAAATTGATTGCAACAAAAATATGTTATAAAAAAATGTTAATTTTCAAAATCAAGGTTTTCTAAAAATAAAAATAAATTTTTGATATCTAAATAGATTACTAATTGTTATGATTATTGTTATTATTATTAGTAATAAATGCTATAAATATATATAGAAATTAAATAATTTTGTTTTATTAAAAAACTAATTCTAATTATTATTGTTTTTTAGTTTCTCCTATTAATCTCTATATAGATCAATAAAAATAATATTTGATTTTTATTATAATTTGTTAATTGATTATTCATTTAATATTTTTGTTATTATTATTAGTAATAATTAAATATATATATATATATATATATATTATAAAATAATTATTTAATTTATATATATACTAGTTAGTTTCCCGGTAATAATCATGTGACTTAATTTTCTGGTTTTAAATTATAAAAACAAAAAGCAATCTAAAAACAAATATATTATTTAAATTTCGCGTTCAATAATATAATTTAAATGTTTTTTTTTCTTTACACGTGCAACAATAAATAAAATTAAAAAACTAACTGTTTAATTAACAATACTTTTTATTTAACCGTTATTTTAATTTTAATCATTTTTAATTGTTGTAACGCGCAAAAGTGTGACCAAGATATATATAAATATATAAACATTTCCAAATTATATAGTAGTATAGATATACCGGTATATATATATATATATATATATATATGTTTTCAATTGCCTTAAGAATTCAAATAATAGTTTTTTTTGTGTATCAAAACAATGATTTTTTTAACCTAATATAATAATTATTTTTTTAAAAAAAATAAAGTACTCATATTATTAGTAATATTTTTTTTAAATTAGTTATTATTGATACTATTAATAGAAAAAAAACTTATTATCATTAAAAATTAAACAACAAAAATAAGTAATTATTAAATAAAATTTATATAATTAATAAAACAATACAAACATGTTTATATTTAAATTTGAATATTTTACATTTAAAAAAACATTTTTTTTCAAATTTTCAAATTTAACTTACATTTAATTGCGGAAATTTATATCTATTTGTAGACACCTAATACTTATATTAGTTTATATAACTTTTTAAATAATAAAATAATTTTTAGTTTATATAGGTTTAAAATTATGATTTTTTAGATATAATAAATTTATTTAGAATAAAAAATATTAAAAAACAATTACAATATTGTATTAATTAAAATCATATATTTATTTATCTATTAATTGTAATAAATATAACAATTCAATAGTCTATCTTAAATTATGTATAATATTTATTAATTATATAAAATATTGCAATTTAATTTTAATACAGAATATATATATATATATTATTTATAATATTATTTTATAAACAAACATTTTCTACCATATCCTGTAATTGTCATATCAATAAATCCATAAAATATTTCCAAAAACACAAAATATTTACAAATATATACATAAAAAATTATTTTATTTAAAAAAAATCATAATTAATGTTTTAGAAAATTACGATTAATTATCTATGATAAACATAACATTCATATTTATAATTAAAATATTTTTAAAATAATTAATATAATAAAAAAACTAAACCCATTTCTAAGTATTAATTATTAAGAAAATTATTAATTAATTAATTAATTAACTAACTAATATATAAACTACATTTAAGCTATTATATATATATTTTAAACTATAGTTAATATTAATTATTAGTTTATTTTAGAATTTTAATAAATTAGTACTAATTATTATTAACTTCACGAAAAAAATAACTAGCAACATTATTAAAATTATTAACAATATGTCTTTTCACGAATTCCTGAAAGGAAAACGTATATGCATTCTAAAAGTCTGTCTGTCCCACGAGGACATAGGTTCGAATCCAGGCTCCGCTACAAATTCTTTTTTTGATTTTTTTTAAGCTAAGGAATTCGTATGGAAATGCTTTTAAAGCATTCTCAACTGGTTTAAAATTGTTTTAATTAAATTAAATAAATCAAATTATTAATTACTTATAGTAAAAGTACTTATTATAGTACTGTATATTATTAGTACAGTGTTGGCAGTGGCAAAGTGTTACAATATAATACTGTATTATATTTAAAAAACTCAAAATTACTATTACTATTACTATTACTATTAATATTACTATTACTATTACTATTACTATTACTATTACTATTACTATTACTACTATTACTATTACTATTACTATTACTATTACTATTACTATTACTATTACTATTACTATTACTATTACTATTACTATTACTATTACTATTACTATTACTATTACTATTACTATTACTATTACTATTACTATTACTATTACTATTACTATTACTATTACTATTACTATTACTATTACTATTACTATTACTATTACTATTACTATTACTATTACTATTACTATTACTATTACTATTACTATTACTATTACTATTACTATTACTATTACTATTACTATTACTATTACTATTACTATTACTATTACTATTACTATTACTATTACTATTACTATTACTATTACTATTACTATTACTATTACTATTACTATTACTATTACTATTACTATTACTATTACTATTACTATTACTATTACTATTACTATTACTATTACTATTACTATTACTATTACTATTACTATTACTATTACTATTACTATTACTATTACTATTACTATTACTATTACTATTACTATTACTATTACTATTACTATTACTATTACTATTACTATTACTATTACTATTACTATTACTATTACTATTATTATTAATGATAAAACGCTTATTGGTAAATATGGTATTACAAAAAAAATCGGCAATTAAATTAATTGTAAATAAAAAAAATTATCTAGTGTAATTTAATTTAATTATTATTATTATTGTAATATAATACTAATTTTGATATCTAAATAGATTACTAATTGTTATGATTATTATTATTAATAAATACTATAAATATATATAGAAATTAAATAATTTTGTTTTATTATGTGATGAACACAAATATTTTCTATATTTATATTTATATCTAATTAATTAAATTAAAAGCATACTTACAATTAAATGTTTACATACATTCACACACACATACATACAAATACATGCATACTGTTAGCCGCCATTACAGGGGCGTTGACTCAATACGCTATAGCAGTAGAGTCAACAGTGCTTAACATTATATGTTGGGGTACACTGTACTATTAATGTGTATACTACTATATAGTGGTACAGTGCTCCCATTTATATAAGTATACAATACTTACCATATATAACTGATTGAAATTTTCTATTTGTTGTAAATCTAATTTAGTCAATAATTTAGTTATTTTTAATATTTTTGTAGACTTTCTGTTATCTTCGTGTTCTAGACTTTACACTTAACACAACTATGTAACACACAACACATAACTAATTATATTTTACTAATTATAACCAAATATTACATTTTACATTATAACTCCCATAGACCTGTCAATCACAGCATCCCTGTGCTCTGGTTGCGTCACTGTATCTACAGTTGCGTAACTATAGAATATTCTGGAAGCATAGCCTTGACAGTACATTTATTGATTAGTAGATTGATTATATAATAATGCTTTGCATCCATTGTTTGATCAGTTACTCGCTTGCTATCAGAGAGCACGCATCTCTTCGTTTTCATTATATAATATCCTATACTATATATTATATTGTAATGGAAACACTATGTACTCCCTATTCATTTTAATGTGCATTTAACTTTAAATAAAATTCAGTTATATTTCAATGTGAATCTATACACTTGTGACGGCACCTAATGAACATTCGCCTTAATTAATATTATTTATTAATTATTTTCATCTCATTCATCAACAACAACACTCAACATTGGCTTTTCATCACAGCTTCGCTTTAATGACGGGAAAGTCAACCCCACACCCGTCACAATTAAAAAACTAATAATTATTGTTTTTTTAGTTTCTCCTTTTAATCTATATATAGATCAGTAAAAAAATAATATTTGATATTTATTTTAATTTGTTAATTGATTAATAAGATTTATTAAGAAATTGTAATTTATTATTATTATTATTCATTAATATTTTTGTTGTTACTATTATTAATATTTAATAATAATTAAAAATATATATAAATTTTAAAATAATTATTTGATTTATATATTTGTTTTCAATTGCCTTAAGAATTCAAACAATTATTTAGTTTTTTGTCTATCAAAAAAAATATTTTTTAAAACTTAATATCATAATTATTTTCTAACTATTATTTTTTAAAAAATAAATAATATTAGTAATAATTTTTTTTTAAATTAGTTATTATTGAGACTATTAATAGAAAAAACTTATTATCATTAAAATTAAACAACAAAAATAAGTAATTATTAAATAAAATTTATTTTACATTAAAAAACATTTTTTTGTTATTTTATAATTTAACTTACATTTAATTGCGGAAAGTTATATCTTTATGTCGACAGCTAAAACTTATTTAGTTTATATATTTTTTTAAATATTATAAATAATAGTAAGTTAGTCAAATTTTTAATATATTTTTGTAAAACTAATCAACAACAAAAAAAACAAAATTATTTATTTTATTAAGTTAGTAAATCTAAGTATAATAATTTTTCAAATATAATAAATGTCTAATAATAAATATTATTAATAATAAATAATAATCTATAATCAATTAAAAACCTACCGCTGCTTAGTTTTTCCACTTTTTTATCAATTGATTTACCACTAAATTTATAGCCACCAATGGTTTCAATATCAGTGGTAATACCTGCCGATTGGTCACCTTTAGCCCATTCAAAGTCGACATCCTTCATTGAATAGCCATCTAAACCACAAAAAAAATAATAGTAAAATTAATAAAGTAAAAAATAATTAATAATTAAATTATTATTATTATTATTAACTGTTGTATACATACATGATTCATTTCAATTGGACAAACTAGTGATGTGTTTTCCAGTAAGCACCGGGAGGTAACTTGAAATCTATAATATAATATATATATTTAATATATAGATTTTTTTTTAAATATTAATAATATAAAAATATTTAGTTAGTTAGAAAAAACTCGTAATAAATATTTTATAGATTTAATTAATAAGAAAATTATTTAGGGGGTGGGTTGTAGGTGTAGGGTTTTTTGATCCACGATAGAATTTTTTTTTATTAGAACCTACCACTCCCACCAACCAGTCTAACAACCTATTTAAAATGTACCTTATCAAATGTGTATGTGTGTGTTTTATCTATAACAGACGTCCAACCCCAACACAGTGCCATTGGATTCAATCATTGCAAACGAAGTGGGAGTCGGTATCGAAACAGTGGTAATCGAGTCGGCATTCGGTAGGAAAGTGTCCGGAATCCACACCCGATCGATAAACGATTGACTGCCGACCACTTTGACCGACGGATACGAGTGCTGTAGACGAGGATCTGACCATTTTTGACGAAAATACATGTTTGTTGTAACCGACTGTTAGTTATAATAACAATAGACAGAAAAAAATTATTAATAATTTTAAAAATTATTAATTTCTATAATAAACAAAATATTTATACAAACAATATATTGTAATATATTTTTTTCAAAAAAAACTAATTAAAAATTATTAATTAATTAGCAAATAAATGTAATTACTTTATCAATTGGATTGATTTTACTGCTAATAACATACAAAGTGATGCCAACATTGACCGATGAATTTTCTATAATTAAACAAATTGATAAATATTTTTAAAAAATAAAATAAAATTTAATTAAATATAAATAATATTTTTTTGTGGCTATAATTACGGCCTAATTTCGGATTAATATCTTTGTCGTAGACATTGGGATCGCTTTTAGCCTTAAACTCTTTGACAGCCCGTATGGCATCACTAAGTGATGATAAATTAAAAAAAAAAATTTGAAAAAATTAAATTAAAAAAAATAAATAATTAAAAAAAACAATTAATACTTTTCCGAAAAGATTTGTTGTGTACAACAAATTAGTAAAACAATTGAAATGATTTTATAACTCATTATTTATTATTTTACAATTTTACAAAATATTTTTTTTAATATACAAAAAACAAATACAAACAATAAATTGTAATATTTTTTTTAAACGAATTAAAATTATTAAATAATTAATTAATTAACAAAAAAATGTAATTATTTTATCCATTGGATTGATTTTACTGCTAATATCATACAAAGTGATGCCAACATTGACCGATGAATTTTCTATATATTTAAAAATAATTGATAAATAATTTATGAAAATAGCTAATTTATAATTTTTAAACAAATAATTTTTGTTATTTTGTTATTAGTTAAATGTTTTTAACTATTAATAAAAATATTTATCTAAATTAAATTAATTAACCAATTTAAAAAATCGTATTATATTTTATGATGATAATAATAATAATAAATAAAATCATATTTAATCGAAATTAATTTATTTAAATCATAGTAAATATTTTTTAATTAAATTTTTATTTTAAAAATGTTTATAAACTAAATTAAATATATTTATTTCAAAAAATAATTATTTACTGGAAAAATTAAGTTCAATTGATATTACATTTAATTATGCGATTTATTTGTTGATAGATAAATATAAAATATTTTTAAAATTATCAATGGATATTAATGTAACATTTTTAATAAATAAATTTTATTTTTAGTACACTTAATGCACTTGAAATTTAAACTAATCTTATAATAATATTTATTATTATTGCTAATAAATTTTATTATATATGTAAAATATTTTATCACTTTTATTTATGTAATCAAGATAACACTTTAAGATAATAGTTGTGTTTGTCTGTATGCGTGCACATTTCATCAACAACGATATTTTAATTCAAATCTAAAAATCTATTGTTAAAATTTTCAATTTTTATTTAAAGCAATTCTATTTCTATGGGAAATTTTAAACGTTTATTGAGCACTGGTAGGTTTTAGGGACAGGTAGGCAGGTGTTGTGTAATTACACTTTGCTATATTGTGTAAGTCTTTGGACACCAGGAGGTAAGCTACCTGTGCTAAATTTTTGTAAAATTTTCTCAAATGCAAAAATTTACATTGTTTTAAAAATCTCAATTTTTATTTAAAGCAATGCTATTTCAATGGGAAATTTTAAACGTTTATTGAGCACTGTAGATTTTAGGGACAGGTAGGCTGGTTACGTGTAATTACACTTTGCTATATTTTGTTAGTTTATGGCACCGAGAGGTTAGCTACATATGTTAAATTTTTGTAAATTTTTTTAAATGCAAATTTTTTTCGCAAAAATGATTAAATTTTTAATTTTTATTAAAATTATTTAAATATATATAAAAACTAAATTTTCTTAAAAGTTTAGACGAAATAATTTTATTGATTCAGTAGTATTGTAACATTAGGTATGTAGTAGTTGTATTGACAAATTAAGTCTCATTCAAATTACTTATGATGAATATTATAAAATTAGTAAAAGAATTGCACGGCTATAAATGTTGCGAGGGTTAAACTAGTTAATTTTTAAATAAATTATAAAAAATGTTTTATATACTTTATTTTTCTTATCATAAAAAATTATATTGGTCTATGTTTGTAAATATTAATAACAATAATAAATTTATATTGATATTATTGACACTAAGATTATCATTATTTTCATGAACTACTGAAAGGAAATTGTATATGCATTCTATAAGTCTGTCTGTCTATCGGTCCGGTGTCCCACGAGGACATAGGTTCGAATCCACGCTCTGCTACAAAATTTTGTGATTTTTTTTATGTTAAGGAGTTCGTATTGAAATGCATTCTCAACTTGTTTTACATAAAATTATTTAATATGATTTTTTATTTTTTTGTGTCTAGTTTAGATTTTATTCAATCAATATTAATCAAGATACTTTAATATAATAGTCTTTTTTGTATTTATGTATGACACTTTTCATCAACAACCACATTTTAATTTAAAGCTAAAAATATATTGTTATATTTTCAATTTTAATTTAAAGCAATGTTATTTCTATAGGAAATTTTAAATGATTATTGAGGTCAGGTAGATTTTGAGGACAGGTAGGCAGGCGCTGTCTAACTACATTTTGCTATATTGTATGATTTTTCCGATAAAAAAAATTTTCAATTTCATATTTTGTTTTTAAATTTTCAAATTTTCAATTTTTATTAGTTATTTAAATATATTTAAAAATATAAAATTATGTTATTTCTATGGGAAATTTTAGATTTTTATTGAGCTCAGGTAGGTTTTAGAGACAGGTAGCCAGGTGCTGTGTAATTACATTTTGGTATATGGTATGAGTCACAGGGCACCGTGAGGTTAGCTACCTGAGCTAAATTTTTGTAAAATTATCTCAAAAGCAAAAATTTACAATTTAGACGTTTTTCTTTTATAGCCTAAATTTATTTTTACATATATTCTAACTGTACATGTAAACAACATTATACAAAAAATATCAAAATTTTTAATAGCGCGATTTTACGTAAACGTAATACGTTTTACTGAAAAGCATATATATTCTAAAATATAGCAAAATTGCTTTTTAAAATCATAATTTAAATTGTAGTTGACTATTTATATGTGTATGTATATGTATATTGATAGGTCTAATTAAAAAGCATTTTGTTAATAAGTATTATTCTTGAATCGGATAGAAACAAATTTTGCAGTCATTCAAATTTATTATGAATATTTTTTAATTAGTAAGAGTAGTAAGGCCAGCCAGTAGTTATGCACACCGCTAGTATACTTTTCCATACGAATTTCTTAACTTAAAAAAAAGAATAAAATCAAAACAAAAAAATCAAAAAAAAATTTGTAGCGGAGCCTGGATTCGAACCTATGTCCTCGTGGGACAGACAGAATTTTAGAATTCATATACTTATTCCTTTCAGGAATTCGTGAAATAGATTTTATCGAAAGAGCAAAACTATAAGACAATCGAGTATTTTCGTGGCAACAGACCTACCGTGAAATCAAGTATTCATTGGCTCCGGCCGTCAAACTCGGTGTCATCCTATAGAGAGAGGGCGACATATTTACAGTCGATGAAATACTCCCGGTGCCGGTAAATTAATAAAATTCATTTAATCAAATAATTATTATAAATATTATTATTAATGAACTATACGACAAGTTTATAATGGCTATCAATGAACAGCAGCTAAAAACTGTACGCCAATTGACTGACGCACTCAACAAACTTACCGGTGCTGATGGGGATGATAAACAAATTGTGACATTAATTATAATGAATGGTTTGGATAGTATTGAAATGGACAGTTAGCAGGCAGGTGCCCGCTTTTACCGCTTTAACCCACTTTCTACCTGTTGTATTTTATTTTACTTTTAAACCTGTATATATTTTTTAAATATGTATTTTATTTTAATATAATTCAAACAAACAAACAAAAAACTAAATAAAGATTTAAATTATTTATATTTTTATTTTATTAAACACACATTAGGTTTGATAAATACAGATATCTACTGTATAGATATTATACTTTTTATATTCAATAGTCATTTAGGTATCAAATCATGATTTTTCAAAAAAAAATTAAATGTATATATATATATATATGATTTGGTATGATACGACATAAATTTAAAATATATTTTTTAAAATTTATTATAAAACAATTAGCAAAATAAATATACTCATTAAATCTTTATTTTTAAACTATAGTTTAATTTTATAATAATAAAGTTTTTTTTAATAAAATTTATTTAATAACAGTTTACATTGTATCGCACATAAAATTTACAATTATGTAAATTTACAATTTACAAACAATTATATTCATCTAAATATATCATTTAAATGTTTATTATATATAATAAGTATTTAATTTATAAAATTTTTTGTTTTATTAAGTTCAAATAATAAACACATGAAATAAAAAAAATTAATTGTTATATAAATTTAAAATAATATATATATTGATTTTTATAATTACTAAATAAACCAACTTCAGACACTATCGTCTGATCCATGGCTGCTAAGAACGGCAGACATGACTGCATCAATATTATCGATGTTAGACAAAAATGTTTGCGATCAGTGGTCCGATGTTATCCGATCTCTATCCACAACATTGACTGTATATCCGGTATCGGTACTGAACCAACCAAACATCGACATTTGGTTTATTTGCTAATTTTGAAAYCCCCATTGAAATTGTTTTTCAAAAATATAAACAACYAAATACAGTCAACTTTAATTCAAAACTTTAATTAAACTAATATTTTTAGATTTGGTTTATTTTGCTAATTTTGAAACCCCCATTGAAATTGTTTTTSAAAAATWTAAACWACCAAATACATWCAACTTTAATTCAAAACTTTAATTWAAATAARATTTTTACATTTGGTTTATTTCGCTAATTTTGAAACCCCCATTGAAATTGTTTTTCAAAAATATAAACAACCAAATACATTCAACTATAATTTAAAATTTTAATTAAAATAAAATTTTTACATTTGGTTTATTTCGCTAATTTTGAAACCCCTATTGAAATTGTTTTTTAAAAATATAAACAACCAAATACATTCAACTTTAATTCAAAACTTTAATTAAAATGAAATTTTTACATTTGGTTTAATTTGATAATTTTGAAACCCTCATTGAAATTGTTTTTCARAAATATAAACAACCAAATACATTCAAYTTTAATTCAAAACTTTAATTAAAATAAAATTTTTACATTTGGTTTATTTCGCTAATTTTGAAACCCCCATTGAAATTGTTTTTCAAAAATATAAACAACCAAATACATTCAACTTTAATTCAAAACTTTAATTAAAATAAAATTTTTACATTTGGTTTATTTCGCTAATTTTGAAACCCCCATTGAAATTGTTTTTCAAAAATATAAACAACCAAATACATTCAACTTTAATTYAAAAYTTTAATTAAAATAAAATTTTTACATTTGGTTGAAATTTTTTCAAAAATATAAATACATTCAACTATTAAAAAATTTAATTAAATTAAAATTTTTCCATTTGGTTTA